GAAAGCAAGGAAGATTTTGAGGCGTTTGGGAGGTCCTCACGTCTTGGGTCCAAAGCTGGTATTTGGCACACGGCATTCTACGAGGGCGAGTAGTCCATCTCAACACGTGAAATGAGGAAACCCCTTTCCCCTGCATCCAGAACCCCAGCCTACGGTTAGCACGCAACCACAACAAGTCCCTGTGTTGCACTCGTGGGGCCTTGATCCTGCGCATGGCCCCGCCTCCTCTACTGACCCATCTGCACTCTATGCAAACGAGCCGTTCTCTTGGTTCAAGTCGCCAATGTTGAACCGAGTGATGTTGTGATTTCTGTCTATGTTTTCTTTTCGTCTTTTTCTTTTTCCTTTTCCAGCTAGGCCCACGGAACCTCGACAACCAGATTCCCCACAGGAGCGCCACCTGAACAAGGAGGACAGCAAGCATCCACCCAGTCTTGTGGGAGTGGACGACTAAGAAGTACTGCCCGCTGATTTCTTAGAAACCATGCGAGGCATGAGACAAATCCGAGTTCATGGAGCCAGTAGTGGGTAAGCCAACTAACTGCCTCTCGCACTCAACCATCCAAAGTGACATGTGCCCCGTTGTGAGTCCAACAGAACACCAAAAATCCATGGGTAGTCCCACGTGTAACGGCAAAACAGCATGCATTAATTGCAAGTGGGAGGCACCAAGAGGAGCCCATCCCGCCAAAGAAACGTTGTTTCCATGTCCAGGGGCAGTATGAGAAGCATCCGCGGCAGCTGCAGAGGCCATTGCAGTCAGATCACGCGCGTGCATAACTACGGGGAGCCCGAAGGGCTTAGGTTTAGAAGCAACCAAGAGGCTTGGACTTGACAAGTCCTCTAACTGTGGATATCCCACAGAATCGGCCACGCAGCAGCAAGGCAAGCAAAGGCACAGCATCAGGGGTAGGGTCGCAAGGAGGCTCCTGCCCCAGCGGGCCTTTGTCACTTTTTTCAAATCTTTTGTCTGGAGCTCTTTGCAATAGCTTTTTGATCGTATCTTTCTTGATTCATTTTTTATGCTACCATCACGGGGTGTAGCATCTTCATCTTGTCTACTCTGCACTGGGACCCGGCCTCGGGTCCTGTCCCACTTCAACCACGGGGAGGTGCAGACGTTGAAGCTCATAATTCAATTGAGGTTCGGGGTACAGTATGCAATGATCACATGGACATTGCAAACGGATAGTTGGCCACAGTCAGGCTTCCACGCTGCTCAGGTTTGATTGGGCTTCCGCCGCGAGCAGAGTGCATGCAACTTGGGTCCGCGCGCGCACGGCTTTGATGTTGTTTGATGTTGATGTTTGCATGATGGAACAGGTTTAGGATGTGAGAGACCACGCCTCCTGGTTTGGGCTAGATTGTTTTCTAGGGAATGTTGCACGTGTTTGTAGACTCTGCGTAGAATAGCACGCAGCATGTTTGGATTGCAAACGCGGCGCTTGTTTCGGCAAGTGCCCAGATTTGAAAATCAAGGAAGAAGCACACGTTCTGCCACAGTCCTCTGTAATATCCGCTGTTGAAGGGTTCATCCTTCTGACCTGGTACATGTCAGAGAAGGATGTGGTGAATATTTTCACGAAAACTTTGACCTAGATGCAACTACAGTGAAAGCATGTCGCTCATGGAGTTCCAACAACTAGATCGGTCTGCCAACCGAGCTTGAAACTTAGGCACTTTTCTCTGGGACGCGACGAATCTTGCGAGACAAGTGACTCAGCTCAGTCTGGGCAAAAAAAAAGTCGAAACTCTGTTTAGTGTCTTGTGGCAGCCACTTACTGAAAATCAGGCCATCCCTTTTAAAGTAATCCCAAGAGCCCTCAGAACCGTGGGGGCCTTTTGCAGGGGCCACTCGGAATACAACTCACAGTGGCCGTAATTCAGGAAGTGCAGTTTCATAGTTTGCAGTTTGCCCAGCTTGGGTTAGGTTTCTCTCCGGGCCATTTCGGGAACCCTATATAAACCCTGGATCCCTCTTGGCCACAATAGGAGACCCATGACTTCCATAAAGCCCCCCAACTCGAGGGTGAGGTCATGGTTGCTGCGTTCACTCATGGGCTCATGAGAAAGCATTTCGCAATTGAGATTACTTGAACCCCGAGAAAGTGTGTAGCAAATTGGCTTTTTTAAGGGTGGCTTTGGGCAATGAATTTATCTGCTTTTGGGCCAGGCGGTACTGAAATCGAAGATTTCACGCTGGTTTGCTACACGTTCAGTTATGCGTTTCGAAAGTGGTCCCAGGATCTCTGTCATGAACTTCCTGGGGCAGACGCGCGCGCAGCGCCCGAAGAATCAGATTGAACTCACGGAGGCACTGCTCCGGACGCCCAAAATCCGGTATGGGCTTTAGGGTGTCCTAAACCTTGGGTCGTCCCCCGCCCAGTAATTAACTGCCATTAAATGGGGCTGTACTAAGGGGCTATTTAGCCTCCTACTACCCATTGCGTTAACTGTTACTGTAAGGGGAATTAGTTACCCAACGCAAGCCCTAATTCCTGTGGAGACTGTTTTAGGGTTGAGGCTTCAGGGTGGCGGGGTGGCTAGCACTCAGCAAGTAAGTAAAGGCGACAGAGGGACTTGGTGTGGAAGTAACTCATGCTGTAGCACTGTACGGCAGGCCCGCAAGCCTGCAGGGGGAGTAATTAATTTGTGCTTGGGCGACATGACAGGGTCTCCAAAGGCCTGGCAAAACCCTTCCGTAGTTGGGAGGCTTGTACCTACAGAGCTGTACAAACCAGTACAACTGTCTGTTTCTTTAGGCGCCTTCCAATGAGAATCGTACTCCGGTAATGAATTGTCCTTTGACTTGCCGAGCAGATTATATGGGCTGGGAACGTCGCCTTCAATCAGGGTGTATGACCGCCAGGGTGGAAACCTGAAACTGTGCGTAAGCAGGTTGAAAGGGGATACCATTCTCCAATGCTCCTAAATCCTAAATCCTTAGATGCACGAAGTTGCAGAACAGTAGCACTTCAATGAGAACTGGTACATGGTGACGTGCGGGCTGGCGCTTTGCACCTGTCACTTAGTGTGGATGAAGGAAGTCTTGCGCCACTCTATAAATCCTAGGAGTTACAGAGTATGGGTTTCCTAGGTGGTGCAACATGCCCTCATACTACCATAGCCTCATGTGAGGAACAGTCTAGATTCCTGACAGGGAGTTAGCTCGGAATAATATAGGGGAGTATAATAGGGGTTAGTAAGGGGGATGCTAGGGGTTTAGACTATAATTCATCTCTGAGCACAAGCCGTGATAAATTTGTGGGAGGCAGCAGGCCTTGATTCTATTGACCCTGACGCTACAATTAAAGCTTGAATCCTACAGGAGGGCTCCACTGAAAATCTAAGCATTAAGCATTATCAGGTGCAGGGTGTAGGAGTTGAACATGACACCTCAATGTACTATAGTAGTTTCCAGTTTATTTTCCATTATCCCCTAATATACATATATAAATAACCCCAGTATAACCCCGATATAACCCCAATATAAGCACAATAAACCACAATATAACCACAATACTATTGAAGCCAAGCTTTCACCTCCTTTCCTGCCTCTCCCAGCTACGGAGGCTGTGAAGCAGCAGCTGCAGCGGAGCGCCTCCCATGGACTTTTGCAGGACCAGGGAAACACGGTTTAGGGTTTAGGGTTAATTTGACATGTAATTCGATCGCCTGTACGAAGAAGTTTCGGGACAACTCACACTTCGGAGCCTCAATCCTGAAGCCGCTAAAGCCGAAGGCCTGGAGTTGAGAGTCGAGACTCCTAGGGTTGCACAAGGGTTTGCTTCAAGTGTTCAGAGTTTGGAGTTTAGTGGGACCTCGGGATGTTGAATGGCATGAGGTTGAAGGCGTTTGGTTCGGGACTTAGGTAAGGCTATGGGCTACTTAGCTCTTTGCAGACTTTTGATTTTGTTGGTTGGCGCAGTCAAGAAAGTTTTCCGCAGTATTTAGAGAACTGGTGCGTGTTCAATCTGAGTGACTACTTGAAGGCTCAGCTTGTGAATAATTTTTGGAAGTTGGCCCTTGTGGCCAAATATGACCAAGCAGGCGCCAATCCAGGGCGTTTTTTAAGGCTTCGCTCCGTATGTTGCCCGAGATAGCAGAACGGCTCGAAGAACTGCAGCCCAGCCTGAAGGCTTACCTAAATAAAGCCTACCTAAACGACAAGAGTATGTAAAATCATAGCCCTAAACCCTTAACAATAGCCATAAAGGCCATAATTTTACATACTTTTGGGGTCCAGGTAACCCCTAGACCTTGAACCCTCAATCAGAGTATGAAGTAAAGCAGTGAAGGAAGCCTGCTTGTCCGTGCTTCGGGACATGGAGGCCTGGATGTTGGGATGTTGGGGATTTGGGGTTTGGGATTTGTGTTTTAGGGTTTAGGATTTAGGGTTTTGGATTTGGGATTTGGGGTGTACCTTTAATCTCCTGAATATTCAGGAGAATAGCGCAGATGCCGATCAATGTCGGAGGCCATAAATTCAAATCCTACCAGACTTATTAACCAAATCACGAGTACCCCAAATCTATCAGCCATGGTGCTAGAACTAGAACTACAGACACAATGTAGGCTGGAAGAAGCGCGCCCTAAACCCTTAACCCTAAACAACTAACCCTAAATTCTGGGGAGGGGGACGCTGTGGACGCTCTTTTTTTTTTGGTAGCTTTGGGGTTAATGAGGAGATTTTTTGAAATGTAAAAAAAGGTGT